TGTGTGGTAAATGCTGACTTTAATGACAATCACTATGCCTCTACACAGCACATGTATACAAGGCAAATTCCTCCATGTTTCACATTATTCAGGTTTTAGGGGGACAGAGAAATTATTTCTGCTGTTATCATGACAGCAGAAAATAACTTCTTTTAGGAAAGAGAAATAGCACAAACAGGCAGCAATTACAAGGAGATCTTTCCCACAAACATTATGTCTGAAAAATACTGACACTTTCCTAGAGACATCAATGATTGAGTAAAATGTACTCCAACATAATTTTGATCTTCTATTAGGAGTCCAGAGTTTCAAAGTCATACAATCAGTGACAGAGGTGAAAAACTGTCTTTGTTTTTGGTTTGTTGAACATCTTACAAATAATTAGAGAAGATCTTAGGTTAATTCCAACTTCTTTCTTGTTATTTGATGTGTATTAAGCAAGAACACTGTTAGCAATATTTTTTAGATTAATTTTACAGAAAATTGATTTTAGTGTACTAGAAATGAGATGGTTAAAATCAATCTCGACTGCTAAAGAACTTGGGTGTAGATGCTTTCTGATTCAGAATTCATTTCCAACATACGTAATGAAAACAAACAAGCAAACACACACCTTAATAAATGGTGATCTAATCTGAAGAACCACAAGCTTCTTAGAAGGTAATGAATATACTACAAAAAAAGTTATAGAACAAAAAAAAAAGTGAATATTCTAGGGTTAGAAGGGTTTGAACTGATCCAATATGCAACATAATTAAAGCTTGGGGATCTAGAGTACAACTTCCAGTTATTAAAGAAATAAAAGCATGCAACCAGATTTATATTGCAATTGTCTTCATTAGTCTTAGTTTCCCTAAGCCTGACCGTAAAAGAACAAAAAAGCTGAAAAGCCATAATGACTCAGCTGAACCAGAGAAGCTAGTTTTACAGCTGCTTTCGCTGATCAAAACATTTACCTTGGGACTTCCAGTTTTTACTGCTGAAAGTCCACAAAAATCTGATAACTAGAACAGAAAAAGGAACTGAAGATATCAGAAAATGAGAAGGGAAAAAGTTGGACAGGAAGAAGGAACAAGAGTAAGGGGAGTATATAGATTACTTTTATTTTTTTCAAGTAGAGCAGGGGTAGATATGACAGAAATATAGTGAAACTGAACCTCGAAACAGCAAAATATGCCAACTGGACACCAAAATATTCTTTAATATTAAAGTTAAAACTTTCAAATCTGAAATCTAATGTGGAAGCTCTCTTCCTAGCATCAGACTAAAAACTGACTTTAAAATTATAGCCACAATTTGGAGATTACATGACAAAAATTCCTACAGCTCCTAATGTAAGAATTTTTTTCACTTGACTTCTGTAGAAATTTTGGTTTGGAATGCATAAGAATGGGACAAGCAGGGATTTCTTATGGTGATATCTTTTATTAGACCAACTGCATAGGTGGCATAATGTGGGATAACTATGTAGTTAGTCCAATAAAAGCTATCACTCTAACAAATCCTTGCCATGCACATAATTCCTGGACTATCATGGCTATAACAATCACATTGACACTACCAGAATACAGGACAATAACTTAATTAAATCAAAAGGCACAGAGTATATTAACACAATTTAGTTCATTGCTCTCTGGTTGCCAGCTGGTTTTAGAAACAAGGTAAGACCCCAATCCTGCAGAGAGCATCCCATGGATGAGTCCTTGCACCTGTGCAGAGCCCCTTTTCCCTAAAAGGTTTTTCTGTATAGACCACTGCAGGACTGCAGCCTAAATCAACATCTGAAATATAGCTTGTAAAGACTACTGGTATAACTTACATACCTTCTGCATTTATACTCAATTCTGTTGAGTTTTCTTCTGCTGTTGCATACGGATTATTCCCAACCATTGGCACAAGGCAATCAGTGTAGAAGTAACCCACTTTAGGCATGTCAAGTGTAGAAATAACCAAGTCTATCACTAGTTGGCCAACATTTCCCACTGATACAGATGGCTGAAACAACACAAGATACTTAGTGTCAAACTAACAGATTTGTAGTTTACCTAGTAAGTTACAGTAAAGTTCATCCATAAAATGTGATGGTCTGAGAAACAGACCAAAATTAAGTTACTTAAATCCTCAGACTAGTTAGACTTATCACACTTCTAAGAGAATCATTTCATGTTTTGACAGACACGTAATTTGTTGAACAGCCTGGCTTGCCTACTAATACAAACTTTGGCTTTGATCCTGCAAATATATATTAAAATTTACTTCTTCAAGTATCCCTTCTTCCATAGAAAATTAAGTACAGGACTGAGGGTTCAGGGTTTTTTTTTCTCCACGGGTGACAAAGTTACTAAAACTCAGTGCAGAAGCTGTCAGTACCTAAAGTGACACCTAATGGTTATTTTGATATTACACACTTAATATGTAAATAAAACTACGGTATTTTAATTGAAGTAACTTTAAAAGTACTATTCAGATTAACAAGTAAAATCCCCTCAACTTTGACCTAATTACGACCTAATTAACTCTCCTCCCATCCAGTATTTTAAAATTGGATATGAAAACCTGAGGCATTATTCTACATATCTCAAAACACACATTTGTTCACATTTTGTTTCTATACTAACCGATATGTAACGTGGGATTTGTAATTCGGAACTGTATATCCTTTATCTCCAAAATAAATGGGATGCTGGTTAGTATATCAGGCAAGTAAAAAATTACTATAATAATTAATTCAAAAATCACCTTTTCGCTAATGATGAAAGCATCAGGGGAGACGCCACCTAAGCTGTGGTGTCAACAGCTTTGGAAAGTATGCCTAACAAGTTTTCTTCTTCTTTAAAAAAAGGAATACATTATACTCACTGGGACTTACTAGTAACTTGGAGGGGGGTAAAGAAGGGAAGCCACATTTTTCCTTAAAGTAGCATATGTATTATGTGCCCCAGTCCTATATAGCTATACAATGCTCTACTCTGCTCAACTCCACTCTCATCCAAGTCACAGAACTAAGTTCAAGTGTATCTTGCTGGAACCAGCAAGATACACTGAAGTGAAAAGTTACCAGTGTCCTGCCACCTCACATCCAATTTATAATAAAATGAAAGAATTTACGGAAAAAAATGTCACCCCTCTCTCTCTGTGTCCACATGGCTGATGCAGCTGGTGGTGCCACAGATACAGTCAGTTTACCTTGACATCATTTGGGCCCTGTCTGGGAGGAATCCCTATGGCAGTGATTTCTCAGTAAGGGTGCTTTGATATACTTTCAAGGGTGCTGTGGGGTACCAGGCAATGTTAGTTTTGTTAGGTATGCACACATAATTCGAAAGATAAACCGAGAGATTTTAAATAGGAATTCATGGTGTTAAAAAGATTCTGGCCTGTTGCGGTCTTTCTGAGTACTTTGCAACAGAAGAATTGCTCTATTATTTGGCCATGGTCAAAAAATGAGTGAGAAATAAGAAGTAGCATTTTCCAAGGTGTGCTCCAAGTCTATCAAAGGGTGCCTCAAGCATAAAAAGTTGAGAACCACTGCCCTATGGCTATGCAAAGGGAGAATGCACTTTCATGTAATACAGAGCCAGGTCCTGACTGTTTTAGCTTATGGTGAAGTAGGGGTGGATCGGGGATGTGTGTTTGTGCAGCAGTACACTTGCACCCCCCTCCACTCAAAATTGAAAACCAGTGGCAGAGGGAGAAGTGGCATTTCTATTCAGGTGGTGCTTATGGAGTAACCGTTTGTTATAATCTACCTGATCACCCCAGCTCACCTCCCTTCACTCCACAGGTGAGAACGACCCTCTCTTTTTTTAACCATCTCGACCTTCTACTAATCAAGTTATCCTTTCTTCCATAATTTAGCTGGTCTGTTAGCCATTCCTGGTAATGCTGCTCTTCAATTCCATGGCCCTACAGACTGTTTGTAGCTGCAGCCTAAAAAACCTTAACTCAGGCATAGAAATGACTGACAGCAGCACTGGCGGCATGGTCAAGATTCTCAAGAAGGCAAGATTCTGTTTTAGGTATCCCAATGAGACGTACCTGTAAACTACACCTGTGGGACTAATGCCACACTATCTTTTTTTTTTCCCCCCCCACACTTGACATCTAATCTAGCAGATACCTGCAATTCCAGGCAAGTTACATTTTGCTTTCACTTTGATCTCAAAATGGGAAAAGCCAGGGATGGATCCAGAGGGAGAATGCCGATGCACTTGCACCCCCTCTGATGTCTGCTCCACCCAACCAGCTGCCTGGCAGTGGTAGCATTTCTATCAGGGCATGCCCAGGGAATTCGTTTGACTTTGTGGCTCACCGTCATCTACTGGATCCCTTCTCAGCTGTTCATTCCACAAGTGTTAATGACCCTCTCTTCTTTTTAATTGTCTTGCCCTTCCCCTGCTCCAGCTCTTTTGTGCTGCCATTCTGTTGTCTTTTGGCTGCTCCTGCTAACAAAGCTCCTATTCCACAGCCCTGTGGTCTGCTTTTCCCTTATTGCAATGCATTTCTAATTGTTTTTCCTTCCATCTTAAACGGAGATCATCCACCCCCAGATCCCTAGCAGCTTGGTAAAATTTTTGTTTGCTTTTAACTAGAGAAAAAAAATGTTGGGCTAGACAGGAGGGCGCCCCTACCATCTGCACCTTCCTAAAATTGTGGGGTTGCCCATAAGGAAGGTAATCAAGGGGGGGGGGGTGCATGTGTGTGGCAGGGGGGTGGACTGGGTCCCACCTGGGAGCAAAGCTTCTAGCTCAAAGACTGGCAACCACCCAGCACGTGTGCCAGAGCACGGCATGTAAGGCCATCTTCCCCACCACGCCACAGCCAGCCTGCCACCAGCCAGAGCCCAGGTTGCCTGTGGCAGGTGACCAGGAAGCTGCAAGCAACCCAGGCTCTGGCCAGAGGCCAGGCCAGCTGCAGCTAGGAGGCTGCAAATAGCTGTGCTGCTCTTCATAGCCCCAGCACCAGCTCTGCGGCTGCATGCGCAGCTCCAGCACACAGCTGAGAAGGGACCTGAGCGCACTGCAACTCTGGCCCCAGCCCCTGCTGTCCACCCAGAAGCACACATGCAGCTGCTTCTGCCACAGAGCCAGTGCTGGGTGCTGCAGACTCTTGCACAGCTATTTGCAGTGTGCCTGCCACATGCTGCAGCTGCCCAGAGACCAAGCTGGCTGTGGCAGGCAGCTAGGAAGCTGCAAACTCCTGCACTGTGTTCCCCGACCCAGCTTTGTGGCAGTGGCAGCTACGTGTACACCTTGGGATGGACAGCAGGTGAGGGACCAGGGTTGTGCTGCCCCCCAAACCTCTTCCCAGCTGCGCACCCAGAGCCAGTTGCACAGCCGTCACCACGGAGTCAATACCAGGACTACAGTGTTTTACTTACTTCAGCCAAAAACGTTGCCAACCCCTGTTCTAGTTTCTCTTGAAGTGCACCAAAACGGCCTTGTGTGGGCTGTGAGGATGCCCCTGCCCCGCTTCCACATCCTAGACCCCCTTGGCAGTGCCTTGCCCCACAGGGTAGGCAGCAAAGCGCCCCGCTGCCGTCATGCCCAGAACGTTGGTCCCTCCTGCGCCAACTGCCGCCCCGTGCGGGGCGTATCCCAGCTCCCTTTCCCCCAGGGCCCCGCACGACCGGGGGGAAGGGCCGCGAGCAGCCCCGGCGCGGGAACTGGGGGTCATTACCATAAGCAGCGTGAAGCCTTTGAAGTCGCGGCGCGCCGCGGTGCCGCACGGCACGAACATGACAGGCGGCGCGGGGACCCAGGGCCGGACGGGGCCTGCCTCCACTGCGGGGGCCTTCCACTTCCCGGCGCCTTAGGCGTCCTGGATGGTGCCTGTCCCCACCC